TGATTATCTAACAAATGACCAGTGGAAGAATGCTTCAGCTTTTTCAGTTTAAGCATATCCAGTCCTATTCTAAATGCTCTTGGATATGACATCTGAAGATGAGGTTTTAGAGAGATCTCAGATGTCCAATTAAACAAGATATTCATGTTGCTATATTTTGAAGCCAACAGACATTACAGAAGAAAACCTCAAGAGTTCTTCTACACAGATATTCATGGCTTTTTCCAGCAATGAGTGTTAAGAGATCACGGACTAATTACAGTAGACAGTGGATTTATACTGTCTAGTTAAAAAAAGAGTACAAATACTGGAAGCAATTTAAAAACAAAAGTATAAGTGTTTAATTCTTACTGTATTCCCTCATTTCTAACCTTGTTTTTTAAAAAACTATTCTTGTAACCATAGCTGTGAGATCAGCTTTGAAGCAATGTCAAAGCACCGTAAAGGAAATTGCAAGGCAGTCTGAATGTAACCAATTTACCTTACCTACAGCTTCTGTGCTAAAGTGGCTACATAGCTGTTTCTGCACAAATATTGTTATTGTACAGATGAATGATCCCATAAAATTCTTTGGGCAGTTTAATGCAGCCTTAATCAACTTGGTACCAGCCTCCTTAGCAATTCTTTTACCTTTCTGGTTAAAACGCAGTTTTTCATGAAAGAAGAAACATTAGAAACCAAAAATTAAATTAAAAGTACATTATGCATTCAGATTAGAAAAGTGACATAAATAATCTGAACACATAAAAATGTAATTACATGAGGAATTTGATTGTAATTCTTACTTAAATTGTAAGTTTTTAATATTATAGTAATTTAGATACTTATATGTTGGTTTGTGAAGGATATAAGAATGTATTTGAATCAGAGATTAGTTGCTGTGATCAGTTCCTTAGTCTAAATGATACATAGGTAAATTAATTCCCTTAAAATGCTACTAACAAAACAACCAATAGAAAACAAAAAATTCAAGGTTTTTAAAGGTTTGGTTTTCTTTTTCCCTTGTCCAAAGATAAAATAAACTTTTTAAATGGAAAAGCTGTAATTTAAAATAATTCAATCTGCCCTAAATGCACAGGTCATTTAATAAACTGAAGGCCACTTAAATACATTTTTAATAAAAACCAGTTGCAAGTCATTTCACTAACTCACTAAATAAACTTGCTGGCATTCTACACATCATCTAGGTCTTAAAAAATAATGCAATCAGTGAAACATAAAGTTATGAAGAGTTTAAACTACAGTCACAGGTTTAACTGCCTATAGCCAAGAGAATAAATTAACATCTCTCCCCTGTATAACAGTTCTTATACATGATCACAATGCAGAACATGGGCTTTTATTCCTGCTAGTGATTTTATGATCCTCACCTTGCGGATCAATTTATTGACCTGCAGCATGCTTTCTCACGTGATGCCCTTTAAAACATGTAATGCAAAAGGTATTCCAAGATACCTTCTGCCCTTTCTCACATTTTATGTGGAAATTTTCCTTAGGTGAAATGTTCACAGAGGTCTTAAGTCTCTGTCATACTTCCCAGTCTCCCTGTCGTTCCCTACTGTAAAACATTTATATTCTGTTTTGCAACTCAGTTGTGAATCATACGTGGCAAAAGGCAGCTTTGTTACACACCTGACATGTTAGAACTTCATATATAGAGCTTTAGGGCACTACCATAAGTAAAAATTAAGTATAAAATTTTATATTAAATTTAAAAAAAGAAAAA